TTGTAAATTAACGTCGGTTGAGGACTAGATTTAACTAAATTTATCATAAAACCTAGTGATATCAAGACATTTGCCTTTGATGGAGATCTATTTAATATTTTTCTCTTTCTTGGTTCCAACTCAACCAAATCGTAAAGATACACAGCTACCGAATGTGCATTGCTGCAACAAACACTGACCATTTTTGTGAATACTAATACTAGTTTGGGGTCCAAAGCAATATTACCATTTCATTGGCAAACACTGATCTTTAAAAAAAAATTTATATTTTTCTGCGAGGTGAAATTAGATTAGTATGTGTATATAATAGATATGCATCGATTCATTAATTATATGGAACTGTTTAAATCGTTTGGTTTTGTCAACTTAATATTTTGCAACTGTATCCCCTTTTGAAATGCATTATGCAGATATTATTGATTGAGTGGTATTTAAATTCTGACTGGCCGCTTTTTGAACCACTAAAAATAAGGTACTGTAAAAACCGTGATGTTTTCCGATTAGTTTGTACAATTTTAAAAAGCATCTTTTTTGGTACTTATTTAGAGCATCTTTTACCAATCTGAGAGTGAATTTCTTTCGAAAAACTTAATTTCGTTTTTCTTTGGAATAGTCATTTTGATCATGCATGAAAATTGATTTTTTGAAAAAAATTTAGCTTGTACCCTTTTTCACAATTTGCGATAAAATCCATTGATAAAATTGAAGTTATTCTTTGTCATGCTGACTGAAATTATCTGAGTGACACCCATACAGGGATACAAGATTTTTTCATTACCGTGCCAGATTTTTTTGGGATACGAAAGTTGGGAGAGAGTATCCCTCTCCTTGCCCTTTTTGTAGATATGTCCGGTTGTATCTGTAGCAACTGGAATTGTGACCGACTTGGTGTTCTTTCCCCCAAAAAACTGTCAGATCTGTATTGAGAATAATATATGACTTTGCGTTCATATCTAGATTGTTCACTGTTGCTTGATACGCATAAACTTTGTATTAGAACAACAGGTAAATTTCCGTTTAGGAGCTCGCTTTTTCAAAACATTCTGCAATTAAATCAGAAAATTGATTTTTTTTGCTCTTTCCTAGCTTTTCAATTTGTTTGTCAGCGTTTACCAAATATTGCTCAACTGATAAAGGTAAAAAACATAATCTTCGTATGTCGTCTGTTAAAGTGTTGAGACCTGTATTTGATACAGCTGCTTTCCTTCTATCACTATATATTGAAAAAACCTGTTCTATCTGCTTGAAATACCATTATTTCGAAAAAACAAACAAATTCTTTATTTTTGAACTGCAAGATCAAAATAACATCTTCGTCTTGTAATCATTTAATAAGGCTCTAAACCCTGCTGTATATAAATGTAGAAATAATGTTTCATTTCAGTATGTTAATGCCCTGGTAAAACCTAAAGATTTCAATAGTTTTTTAAAAAACTGAGTAAAAAGATAGTAAGTTTTAACCCAAGCTTAAAAAAACTATGTCTCTTCTGTAACATAGCCTTAAAATGTCATCTAACACGAACTTGCAACATAGAAGCACGCTTTAATGATTCAGGAAAACATGTCCTGTAACTTGTAACTCATTCAGGTGCACGCCAGATTTGTTACAAAATATTATTTGAGATTCATCAAGAATCAAACCTTTATCAGAACAAGGAGCATTTTCTGAAAGTTCATCACCAAATGACTCACCGAACATTTTGGCTCTCTCCGGGCTTTAGAATCTTTGATATTCGTATTATTTGTCCTCATCAGAATCGTTAGAAAGTGAAGAATGTTTTGAACGAGTGTCAAAATGAGCATTACTATTTTTCAAACTATATTAATACATCACGGATGAATAGATAGAACATCATGTTCGGTAGGTTCTTGAACCAATGCCACTTTTCAAACTAATTAGCGGTCTACGCTCGCCTCGTGGAGCAGGATCTCGGGAAATTGACAGTAGACTAGCTCTGTTCGTGGCAATACCACCGTATGCATGTCCGTCTGAAAACGAGCTCTCGGTGTGACAAAATCACCCGTATGCTTATCAGACTGTGTCAATTTTCCAAATCTTATATAATATGCGAAAGAGTACAACTCATATTCGGCTCCATGCCGGAAATGCGTTAATCTAGCTCCTTCAAGTTCAATTTTTAAGCACGTGGTTAAGAACTAGAACTTTTCCCTTTATCATTAGATAAATTCAATTTATCCTGTTCGGACACGGCGTCCGTATTCAACACTGGCAGAATATCATCTGCTGTCTTTTGCGCCTTGGTTAAAACTTCCAAACATGAAAGAACAAATAAAACTAAAAAATAATCAACAAAAAGTAACACTTGACCGGTACGTTGCAAAAGTAAAACTGATTATTCAGTAGAGGTAACACCGGTTGGTCGCGTGGTGATCATTATCATGTAGAAACTTATTGAGACACTTTGTTTTTATTTTAAGAAGTGTTTGCGAGTCACGCCGGTAGTCAAAGACAGTATACTTATAGTATAGTTTGGTAAGATAACTGAATGAAATTAAATCATTATTGTAATCCGTCTAGTCTTGTTTTATTTTTCAGAGACCATCTGAGAATCGACAGTTCTTTACTTATCTAAAAAAATTAGTATTGTACTCAATATTAAATAATAACCTCAAAATATGAAATTGTAATTATTTCGATTTAAAAAAAAATAGCATAAAGTCTAGTCCAACAATGTAACTTATATATTTACAATAAATTTTTAAAAATACAATTTTAAAGCAAAGTAACTTTTTTCTTTAAAAATAAAACGATAATGATTTTAGAATTTCGTTTCGTTATACTATTCAAGCTATAAAAAATAGCAAATCCAACGTTCAAGAACTACAAGAAAAGAGCTTTAAGCTTAATGGAATAATGAAAAGATCTCTAAACTTAACGACTATAAAAACAGAGTTCCCAGCTGAACGACCAGATGAATAGTGTTATAAACTTAACGACAAGAAGAAAAGAACGCAAAGCCTATAACGACTATAAGAAAAAAAGTTCCTTAAAGTTTAACGATAGATGAGTAGAGCTTTAAGCTTAACGCTAGAATAATATAGCTTGAAGTTTACGGCTATAAGAAAAAGTTATAACTTTAATGACTAAAATATAGAAGCATAAAATCTTAAAAACTGTAGAGGATAGAGCACTTTTATAATAGAAACAAGTAGAAAAAATAGAGCTCCAAGCTTATTCGCTATAAGAATAATGGGATCTAAGTTAATTATAAGAAGAATGAAGCAATAAGCTTTGGCGATAGAAGAAGAGAGCTCTTAGTTACCGTCAAGAAAATTATTAGCTGAACTATTTGAGCTAGATCTCTAAGCTTATCGACCAAAGATTCCTAGATAATCGTCTTAACGCAAATGAAAAGTTTTTTAAATTATTACCTACGGACTATACCTATATTCATCTAAACAAATAGAAACTCTTTTAGTGCTATGTGTGCGTTGTTTATTCGTAAATGCATTTTAAGATAATGTTGAGTTTTATCGACATTGCTAAAATTCGTATTCTCGATTTATTGGATAAAAGATCCAAGCCGCAACGCCCCCACAATTTTTTCTGGCATCACCTTATTGTTAACAGGGGAATAGATTTGTTAAAAGTGATGTGCAGGTCAAATTCTAACAGGTAGTCATGAAGGTAGTCATGTTGACCATAATGATCTTTAAATGATTTTATTTCATATTTTATTTTATAAAAAGCATATTTTACATTATATTTAATTCATTCTTTTTTGTTACACGATGAATAATTTAGTAAGACACGTCGAGGTAATTAGGATAGGTTTTGCTTTCAAATTCATTGTTTGTCAGTCATTTCTTTAAAGTTGATGCTACCATATAGCACTGTATTAATTACATGCAACTAAAGCAGTGCATAAACGACACGGAATGCAGATATGCACACACTGTATCAGTTTTAGTTTAGTTGGCACGAAATACTTGGGTACTGTACTTATACTTTTTATATATCTTTACGTACACAGGACAATTAGTTATTATAACAGGTATATGTTATATAGTTTATTAATAAAACAATAAGACAATATATTTTCCAACTTTAACGCACATTTAACTATTATATTCGATTCTTTATGACCTATATCACCTTTTAAGTCGATTGTTGAAAATATCTGTGTACACATTACATGAAACGTCACGCTCACATTCTCATAGACAAACAGTACTATATTCATCTGTAAAGGAACTATTATTATGGAATATTACTATTTGTAAAGGTAAGATTTTTGTTTATAATTAGAAGCATGTTAATTCGGTGTTTCACGTATTCAATATATTGTACAATTTATTAGATCTAGGTCAATTTTAATTAGTTTATGTTACGAGTATCAGTCTAATTAACTACATATGTACTGTGTTTTGGTATGCAGCTGTAATTAGACTCCAATTATTCAGTTCAATTCATAATATCAACATATCAACAGGATGTTTAAAATATATTTTTATATGTACATGTATTTGTTTACGCATATTAAGAACTAGACAGAACAATTTAAGACAATATATCTTTTATTATATGTATTATCTGGAAGCACTGGACTGACAATTATGTATCCTATTAAAATATTTGATAACGATCAGATTTTAAGCTTCTGACCACTAACGCGTTGTCATATATCATTTTACGGAGTAAACGGAAATACCCGAAGTTTGACAATCGTAAATATAGATTATATTACATTTATAATAAATAGAATGCGTCAAGACATGTAAATCTAATGAACATACATTCTGCATTTCCTTGTAGAAATGGAAAAAATGAATTTTCTGTTATGGCTAAAAATTTCCACGTTCATAGTGACATATGAGTTAATGGAATGTCATTTAAACGTTATTGCCATGCCTTTAACAGAGTGCAAGACAAATTATTTATCTCTAATAGGTATTGATCGTGATAATTGGCGACTCATCATTCGATGAAATGGAAGGAAAATTAACAGAGAAATATATGGACCAACTCGAACAATGGATAGATACAGTGCCAAAGACATTTACACTCCTGTTTGCAATCACAAGAGATGGATGTGATCCTGTGACATTCCATCAAAAATGTGACAACCAGGGTGCCACCGTCACGGTTCTGTATAACCAGCATGGGTCAGTATATGGTGGTTTTACCAGTATCAGTTGGACGTCAAAAACGGGAGTTTATGTTAAAGATGATAAAGCGTTTTTGTACCAGCTCAAGTATAGTGGCAGAGACAATTTCAATATATTTCGAGTAAATTCTCCGGATGGTGCCATAGTTCATAATAATCAATTTGGGCCATTATTTGGATCTGGTTATGAGCTCTTCACATTTAAGGGTAGAATAAACAGATCTGAAAACATCTTTCCATTAAATGGAAGTATGAATCAATCCGGAAATACATACAACAACCAGGGAATGACAGCTAACCAGATAAACAACGGTACAATGGAAGTGACTGAACTTGAAGTTTACATGGTAACAGGTGATACATTGTATATTAAACAAATATTATTCTTTGTCAACTTCTTCTTAACCCGATATTATTTTCAAAATTTGTTTCCATTTGCAAAAATCTAAATTGACTCATTTATATGGAATAATGTATCTACCCCCCTTGTCTTATTTAAACTTACTGTCGTTTGATTTTGTATGGAAACGATATTGTTTTTTTCCAAAGTTTATAGTAAACGAGTGACAGCTATGCCTTTTGAATTATTGTAATTAGACGACATTTAATAATTTATACTTGCATGATTGTTAAAAACAAGAAGTAGAGTATTCTGAAAAAAAGGTTGACATTCTAAACTTACTCTTTCTCATTGAACTACTATTTCTTAAAATTAAATACAATTCATCCTTTCAAAGTATGAATTTGGGAAATTGTGCTTATTTTTCCATTATGACTCTTATTATGTGTACTTTTTATGTATTTGTAAAATGATTATGTACTTATAGTATATGTCTAGAGTAAAATATTTGTTCTGACAGAAAATGATATTATCATTATAATTTAGATGGTGAGCGTAAAAAGAAAATAGAGAAACAGCTTTCACCTTGGCGAAAAATTAAGGACTGGAACGAAAAGGTTAGATAGATCAAGATTAAATAATTTTGTACTTGAAGGTAGGGTGTATTGTGTCCGTGCGGGATGACTTAGGTCTCGTATATTGGCGGAGATTGTGAGAAACATGTATTAATGGCATGAAATGTAATTATGAAAGTTATAATAAGTGAGATGTATTGCGGATGATAAACACGTGATTTCAAGAAATGATGAAGTATTTTCAGGCAGCGAGAATAATTGATGTTCTTTCAAGCAGAATTGTCACTATAGATAGCTCATAAGAAATTTGATAATAATGGGCGACAAAAAAACAGTTTTTATTGCTTCTGCTTAGACAATATACTTTTGCTAAGTATGAGAGGAAAACGATAAGAGAAATAGTAAATATGTGTCAAGATAAGAGAAAAAGTACATATGTGCCATGATAAGAGAAAAAGTACATATGTGTCATGCTAAGAGAAAAAGTACATATGTGTCATGATAAGAGAAAAAGTACATATGTGTCATGATAAGAGAAAAAGTACATATGTGTCAAGATAAGAGAAAAAGTACATATGTGTCACGCTAAGAGAAAAAGTACATATGTGTCATGATAAGAGAAATAGTACATATGTGTCATGATAAGAGAAAAAGTACATATGTGTCATGATAAGAGTGTTTACTGTTTCAGTTTCATGATGACCTTAAAGAAAAAATAGTGAACTTTAAACCTATACAAGGTTCGAATGTAAGCGAGGCTCGATTCGTGATGTTAGGACCGGTTGGTGCTGGAAAGTCTAGCTTCTTCAACACTATAGATTCAATTTACCGCGGCCGAATCACACAGCGAGCTGGCAGCGGAAGTTCAGAGCACAGTCTCACCACTGCAGTACGTACCTTTAATGAAATATCAAGTTCGACACATACTACTCCGCATACAGATTTTTTGTATCTTCTTTCTTTTAAAAAAAAACTCCACACCTACCGTTCTAAAAATTAAACAACACATATTTGACAAATAACAACCATTTCTTCCAATAAAAGCAATAATGAAACAAAAAACCGATAGCAGACAATAAAGTGAAGAATTGATGACTTCACCATGATTTAGATAATGTAACCGGACTTTATATATTTCTTTCAGTTTGTTCCGTATTCTATCGAAATTAGTTCTGGGGCGACCTTGAACTTCCGGTTGTGTGATACACGTGGTCTAGAAGAATCTATGGGTATTGATGTACTAGAGGGTAACTATTTACTTGATGGAAACATACCGTACTACTACGAGGTATCATTCAATTTGTTTTTGAATATTTATTAATTTATTGAATCCACTATATTAGTCTGTATCTGAAAACATTAAAACATTACAGTGCAATAAGTAAATTTCAATTTATTATAGCCCATTTTACAAGTCCAACAACATTTCAAAAACGAATTATAAAAAAAACATCAACAATAAAAAGAAAGAACGAAAAAACAACAACACCCCTCCAAAAATAATTTTTGTTACTTTTCAAAATTAACATTTCATAACAATCTATCATAGCATATCTAATTTTAGTTTAACCCCACGAGACCAATCACTCCAGAATCGCCTGGGTTCAAATCTGACCCTACTGGGAATGACAAAGTTCATTGTGCAGTGTTTGTAATTGACTCTACATCATTAGAGGTGTTGTCAACAAAAATTGTTGAGAAAATGAAAGGACTACGGGGACTTATGAATCAAAAAGGTAGATTTTAAAGTTATCAAAATATGTAAGTTTTGTTAAAGTTGAGATTTTCATTATATTAAAGCTTCTCTACTCGATTGCATTTGGCTGTTTTTACAATGCTATTGCATCGTTCATAGATCCCTGTTATGTTTGAAAGATTTATAAGTTCATTTGATGCATGTGAAATTCAAATCTTGGTTGTAGTAACACCTATTCTAATGTTTCCCATATATAAACCTTCAGGAATACCACAACTTATTCTCCTGACAAAGGTAGACAATCTCTGTGAGTACGTTGAGAAGGACGTGGCTCAGGTTTTCTACAGTACAAAAGTAAAAGAAGCTGTAGATAAAGCTTCACAACTACTGGGTCTCCCACGTGCTAACATACTTCCGGTGAAAAATTACGAAAACGAGACTGAGCTTGACGACAACGTTGATATACTTGCTCTGTTGGCTCTACGTAAAATGCTGCATTGTTCTGAAGATTTCATGCTGAACATGAAACACAGAGAGAAAGATGTTGAAGGGGAAATGGGAAAATTGAAACTTGAAAAGTGATTTTCAACGCTTATCATAGTATGTGAAACTTTACAAAAACGGAATTAAAAAGAAATGCTATATTAATATACGCATTATGGAAATATTCTTGTTGCATGTAAATAACTGAACGATAAGAAGAACTTCTTGAAACGCTGTACAATAGTGGAAATATATTACTAGTACTCGTTTTATGTAAACAATATTCACATGTACATGTATGCCCTGGCAACATATTTTTTGCACGTTTAAGCGTTATCACACACACACACACACACACACACGCACGCACGCACGCACGCACGCACGCACACACACACACAGGCGCGCGCGCACACAAGAACGCACGCAATACACATTCATGAAGTTTCACAATAATGCAATACATTTTTTAATGTAAATATACAAAAGGGTTGGGCCAAAAGTTATAACAACTTTTTCGACCGCCCTCAATCGAGTTTGATATAGTTCAAGCAAGTTATTTATAGTTACTGTTTTTCAAGGGTAAACCGATAATATTTTGGAATTTTGTTTCATTGCTCAAATATAGCAGAGCTAACGTTTATCTTAACGACTATATATAATAGATCTTTTAGCGTAACGTCAATCTTGACAACTATCTTTAAGCTTTTTTGAATCATTGAATTATTAGTCCCGCTACTTTTGAATATCTGTTATATATATCACTTCACGATTTAAGTACTAACCGCTTTAATTCATCCTAAAATTTCTGTTTTCTGTGTGTCATAACTTATAATCCCATCTTTTAAAGCCTTCAACTACGCTGAATGTATTCTATCTTTATTGCGCTTTTGCCCTACGCAGAATGCGCATGCGCAAAATGCAACATTGGTTGCTATGGAAAAATCGTACTGTAAAAAGGTCTATACAAAATAAGCGGGACTAATAATTCAATGATTAAAAGTCTTCTGTTCAAGGTTTCATTAAATAACTTTTTTATCAGTAATTTAAATTGAAACAGCAGGGTGTTTAAGATAAATTTTATTACCCATGTATTACATAACATTACACAATTGGTATTCCTTCGAAAGATTGGCAAGGCGGTAAGTGGGAAACGGATTGACAAGTGACCGGTTGTTATTTGTCAGCTTGTATTAAGAGGTTAATACACGACAGGAGAGGGCCGGAAGGTGATAATCGGCCCGCAAAATGAATAATGGACCCGAGGGCTTTAGCCCGAGGGCCATTATTCATTCAGGGCCGATTATCACCTTCCGGCCCTACTCTGACGTGTATTAATGTCTTTAATACACTTGGTAGATCTAATAGTAGCATTTTTAAAAAACAAAACAAAAAAACAACAACAAATACTTTGAAGTTCTTTCGATTAAATTCTTGTCTACTCTTCTACTGTTCTGTAGCCCGGGGTTCTATGATATCACGGTACTTAACGTTTATCGGAAAATATTTAAATATAAATATCATAAATGAATGAGATTTTTTTCTATTTTATAATTGAACAATTTCCAGAACTGTTTGTCAAAAAATTATTTCAAAAGAACCAATAAAAATGACATTTTTTAGAATATTTTCAATGTCTGCCATTTTGGGAAATTTCAGAGGAGGTTACTACGGTATCAAGGTAATCCCCAAAAAAGCAAGTATGGAAGGATAGATGGGTCAAAACTTTCAAGTTAAGTTGTGAAAAACTTCCAACAGCTAACTTGCTATAAAATTAAAACTATATGAACAGACTATATGTCAGTATATGTGTTTATAACATATTTTAATTGACTGTGTAAAAACCATTAAGGAAAATGGTAGTCAAATATGAAGGTTTTATAAAATAGTTTTCTTGCCACAAATACATTCATTATTCACCAAATTAAATTCATTGGCAGGTGAAAATGAATCTAGTGTGCAAGTTTTACAAATATTAGCATCATCAGGTGTTGCTTTTACTAGCAGTCACAGAAAATTTAAATGCCTTGATATCATAGAACCCTTGATATCATAGGAACCGAGTATACAGAGACGTTTACTGTTTGTGTGTTCAAAGCAGTAGAATCTAGAAGCAAGTTTTATTTTCATTTTTTTTCGGAATGAATTTGTGGTATTATATCTTCAAATTTCAATAGTAACAAAAATGTGTTTGTACTAAATACGCTTAAGCTCTCATAATAGAAATAAAGCGATTCGTGCTGACAACCTACTTTCACTTTTACAGTTAACTGTTTGATGACGTAAAATATGACGTCATCGTTTCAGTTTGTGCACGTGCACATGTTCTGCGGGCTGATAACTAGTTCTCGGCCCCGGGCCGCAAACTCATAATAGGTCATGTGACACTCATAATCAGTTGAAATCATAGGCAATTTTGTTACTATATATAGTAACAAGTGTATTAAACAATATCATTCAACCGGGTCTTAAAATTATGGAAATCGTTCTTTGTGTTACTTTTTATTTATATCAATCTCATCAATGTTTATTAATTTTGTGAAGTGACAAATAGTGTACGTGACATGCATTTTCATGTGTTACGATCGAGGAACCGGATAAAATGTGTGTTATTTCACCTCCCATTTTTACTTCACGAGTTTGAAATAAAATTTATATATTTATGTGACTTAAAAAAATTCTGTTTGGCATAATAGTCAAGTCGGATAAAGGATAAAATTAGGTAAATGAAAAATAAAAATGCATTATCACGTGTTCCGACTGATTTTCATAATAACCCATTATAAAACTTCTTAAGCTATTATATGGACGATTTAAACAACAATTAAATTGACTTTTTTATTTGCTAATTATATTTCCACATTTTTTGCAACAATTATCACAATGCCAGGTCCGTGATCGTAAGGGAGAATTCTTAAACAATCGTCTTTTTCATGCCTTTTTATGGCAATCTTGGCCACAAAGCTCTAAAGGTATCTTTTGTGTTTCTATTAAAAGCTATTTTATATGATTTTCGAATTTTTACCTTAAACTAACTCGAATTTCTACTGCATTTCTATGAAAGGCAATGCTCTTTTTGTCCTACGCAGATTGCGCATGCGCGAGAAAATACTTCTTCCGGTCATTTTTTCATAGCAACGGACCGCGTCGTAAAAAGGTCTATATCTGTTATATATATCACTTCACGATTTAAATACTAACCGTCTTAATTCATCCTAAAATTTCTGTTTTCTGGGTGTCATAACTTCTAATCACGTCTTTTAAGGCCTTCAACTACGCTAAATGTGTTCTATCTTTATTGCGCTTTTGCCCTACGCAGAATGCGCATGCGCAAAATGCAACATTGGTCGCTATGGAAAAATCGTACTGTAAAAAGGTCTATAGGCTTACATCACAATTGGAAAAAAATCTGAAATGTATCAATATGTCGGACACATAATTTAACCTCATCGTTCAAAAATTAAACAACAATGTACATCATGTAGTTCTTATTTCCAATGTCATGTAATTTCTTATTTTGATTAAGCTATCTTTCAATAAAATAATGTAAGAGAAAAATAGTATTGACTGTACTATAATAAGATTGATAAGCAAAACTGAGCATCAGTAAGAATGTAATTTACAATTGCCCATTTTTCAAACGTTAATTTATTATTGTAGTAAATAATTCAGCAAAACATCTTATCAAAGTAATACCTCTGTAATTTGTCGGAAATTTGAACCCCCTTTGCCCATTGACCATGATTCAGGAAAACATTGCTTATCGAAAAACAGCAAAATAAATAGTCAAACATCGATTCCCTCTTCAAGTATTCGTACATAGTCCAGTCAATTTGTGAAAAAATACTTCAGAAAATGGGAAAAGCACCAAACTTGGTACAAATGAACTTTCATATATATAAGAAAAATTGAGCATGGGACCCATCTTTGAAAATCCAATATGGCGGGAAAAATCCAAAATGGCCGCCATACGTGTTAAAAATTTCAAAAAAGCTTGTTTTTACTAAGAGAACTTAATAGATAGCTGCATATTAGGGTATTGTAATCAGAAAAATAGTTGTTATTAGTATTTAAACATTGCTTTGTCTTTTTAAAGCTATTACACTTAACATATTTTATTATTTCTGTTTGTCATTAGTTTTCACGACCCTGGAAATCCGATGAAATAAAATATTGTAGAGGTCTGTCATCGCTGTCTTCTAAAGATGTTTAGACATCATTTTTAGCTCGACTTTTTTTTTTTGAAAAAAAAAGTAGAGGTATTGTTATAGTCAGGTCGGCGTTGCCGTTGCCGTTGCCGTTGCCGTCTCCGTTGCCGTTGCCGTTGCCGTCCGAAAACTTGTACCTGGATCATAACTTTTTTATTTCTTGGTGTATTGTCTTTATACTTGGCCACAACAACCCTTGGGACAAGACCTTTCAGTAGACCACACTAACCTTGACCTTCATCCATAAATGACCTTGACCTTCAAGGTTAAAAGTCCAATTTTTGCTTGTTCATGCTGTTATTGGCTGTTACTTTGTTATTTTTGAATGGATTGTCTTCAAACTTGAACATAATAATCTTCAAGGATATCCCTTAAAAATAACCAGTCAGACCTTGACATTCACTCATCAATGACCTTGACTTTGAAAGGTCAAATTATTGAAATTTTCATTTTTTTGGCTATTATTGGCTGTAACTTTGTTATTTTTGAATGGATTGTCTTCAAACTTGAACATAATAATCTTCAAAGATAACTGTTAAAAATATACCGAAAGACCTTGACCTTCACTCATTAATGACATTGCCTTTGAAGGTCAAATTATTGAAATTTTCATTGTTTTGGCAGTAACTGACTGTAACTTTGCTATTTTTGAAGGGATAAACTTCATATTATAACAGAACATTCTTAAGGACCAGACCTTGTTGTTTATCAAACCCAAATTTGCTTGGGCTCTTTAATGACCTTGACCTTGAAGGTTATATTACTGAATTTTCTCAGATTGTGCATTTATCGGTGTGTGTGTATGTATAGTTTATGTATTATATATATATATATATAAATGTGTGTGTGTATATATATACATATATGCAGGTATATATATATATATATATAATATATATATATATATATGCATGTGTATATATATATATATATATATATATATATATATATATATATACATATATAGATATATATATATATATATATATATATCAAATATATATATATATATATACATGTATATAATTGCGTCATGTTTTTCTATTTTTAGAAATTGCGTCATTTTTTCTATTTTTAGAAATTGCGTCATTGTTGCTATTTTTAGAATTTGCGTCATTTTTTTTTCTATTTTTAGCAATTGCGTCATTGTTGCTATTTTTAGAAATTGCGTCATTTTTTTCTATTTCTAGAAATTTCTTCATTTTTGTTCTATTTTTAGAAATTGCGTCATTGTTTCTATTTTTAGAAATTGCGTCATTTTTTTCTTTTTTTTTAGAAATTGTGTTATGTTTTTCTATTTTTAGAAATTGTGTCATTTTTTTCTATTTTTAGAAATTGCGTCATTTTTTTCTATTTTTAGAAATTGCGTCATGTTTTTCTATTTTTAGAAATTGCGTCATTTTTGTTCTATTTTTAGAAATTGCGTCATTTGTTTCTATTTTTAGAAATTGCGTCATTGTTTCTATTTTTAGAAATTGCGTCATGTTTTTCTATTTTTAGAAATTGCGTCATTTTTTTCTATTTTTAGAAATTGCGTCATGTATTTCTATTTTTAGAAATTGCATCATTTTTTTCTATTTTTAGAAATTGCGTCATTTTTTTCTATTTTTAGAAATTGCTTCATTTTTTTCTATTTTTAGAAATTGCGTCATGTTTTTCTATTTTTAGAAATTGCGTCATGTTTTCTATTTTTAGAAATTGCGTCATGTTTCTCTATTTTTAGAAATTGCGTAATTGTTGCTATTTTTAGAATTTGCGTCATTTTTTCCTTTTTTTAGAAATTGCGTCATTTTTCTATTTTTAGAAATTGTGTCATTGTTGCTATTTTTAGAAATTGCGTCATTTTTGTTCTATTTTTAGAAATTGCGTCATTTTTTCTATTTTTAGAAATAGCGTCATTGTTGCTATTTTTAGTAATTGTGTCATTTTTTTCTATTTTTAGAAATTGCGTCTTTTTCTATTTTTAGAAATTGCGTCATTGTTGCTATTTTTAGTAATTGCGTCATTTTTTTCTATTTTTAGAAATTGCGTCATTGTTGCTATTTTTAGAAATTGCGTCATTGTTGCTATTTTTAGAAATTGCGTCATTGTTGCTATTTTTAGAAATTGCGTACTGATGCTATTTTTAGAAATATGCTTAATGTTTCTATTCATATATATACAAAATATATAAACAAAACTAATGTGACAAGACAGACCAACTAAATTTATAAAAAGGAAACATCAATATATGTTCAAACCTTTCTATGTTTGCGTTTAGAAAAAGTAAAAAGTCGAGCGTTGCCCCCGCCCGGCGGTGGCTCTTGTTTACAACATTGCTTTTTGTTTACAATGTTAATTTATCACAAGGAAATGCTTATCAAACAGATTAAAGAAAAGTATTTAAAAATTCTAGCATAACTCAAGCAAACGGAAATTAAATATCTGCCCATCAAGTCAGGTGTACGCCTTGCAATTTTATCTTGTTGATAGCTGTGAAAGGTATTAAACAAAGAAGGTGTGAATAATAGAATTATAAGCTAACATGTGTCAAATTTTAACAGTCATTTGGTATTTGAATTGTCATATCATAAAAATATGAAACTTTATAAAAGTGCATTTTTTAGAATATGTAAAAGAAAAAAAAACGAAAACCTGGCATTTGTTGTATAAAAATGGAATGATAATTTTGTAGAAATTTGCAGTTTACAGACTCAGATTTTGACA